AATATACAACCGGGAAGTTATACCATCATATATTGAGTCACCCTTCATATAAACATGGAAAATAAGCTTCAGAGGTGATTTTCATGGGCAATTATCGATTACTTGATCGATCATCCATTTATCGATCAAGTTATCGATAAAATGCATCCTCTGTTATGCTCTGTTCTTCGTTCAGCTCTGACATAGGTTCGGTATTTCTTCAATATCTCCTAAACCACAAATCCGTTTGAGACGAAACTTGATTCATATGAAACTAGACTCAGAACACGGTTCATGGACACCAAAATCAACTTCAAAGAGTTTCATATGAGGGAGATATGCGGTTCGAAACATTGCAGTCATTTGCAAAATTTGGAGCTGAATTGGAAGAGTTATGATCACTCAAAGATTGACCTTCGTTTTGCTGGAATCAGACTTCGAATTTATTGAGGCAAAGACCAGAAGTTCTACACTGAACGATTAAGTTCTCAAGCAACATGCTACTCAACATGTTATTGAGTAAAAGCTCTAGAAGAGATGAAGAAATGAAAAGCCATTATCATATGTTACTCGAGCCTGATCAAGCGACTACATACTCATCGAGTTACTGGTACTATCTCCTCAATTCCTCTCTTTTATCTTCATACATATTATTAAGGTTTTATCAGTAACATGTTGGATAAATGATTTTTGGATAACGTTATAGATGAATATGTTTATCGATCACTTGATCGATAACTGTCAAGTTTTATCGATCATGTGATAGATAATTTAGTCTGCTCAATAACTTGCTAGATTGATCGATCAACTAATCGATCATTGGTATAGCTGATTAATATAAGATGTTTCAGGAAATAATCGATCACTTAATCGATCAGACCTTTATCGATAACTTGTTCGAATATTACATGTCTTCTTACTCGATATAGTGCTCTGTCAAAACCATTCGTTTAAAATCTTTTATCGAGCAATTGATCGATCAAACATTTATCAATCAAATGATCGATTATTATCTTCACTGCATTAACTTATGTTGAATCATTTTTTCGATCACCTACTCGATCATTGATTTATCGATAAAATGATCGATCATTCAATTTCCTGAAACTCCTGTTTTCACATAACGTGATCGATAATCAGTTTCTTTACCTTACAAGATTAAATCTCTGTTTTTCATTTTATCAATCACTGGATCGAATATTCATTATCGATCACCTGTTCGATTAATCCACAGTCTGTGTTTTTCGCTGAATATATTCTTACTCATTGTTTATCGATAAGGTTATCCATCATTCATTTATCGATAATTGTTCGATCATCAATGACTAAAGTTTCATTTCTGTAACACTTGGATTATCGATAATCTGTTCGATCAACAAGTGTTCGATCACTTGTTCGATCTTGGACGTTTTCCGTTTTAAAAATATCAGTCGACTATGATGATTCTTAAAATCAATGATCTATTTTCTTTAAAGCTTTTCTCAGCCTTCTTTTACACATAACTCTCTATAAAAGGATACGAAGGCAAACATAACTTGAAAGGTTTATTCTTGGATAAATCATTTTTGGGTCACTGTACTCATGTTTCATCATTTATCGATCATTTCTTCGATCATCACATGATCCATAACCTATTCGATAATTGCATATATCTACTATATCTTTTCCTCATATAATTAATCGATAATATGATCGATCAAAGGATTATCGATCAAGGCATCGATTAAGTAAGTTTATCTTACTTTCTGAAGATCTGATGATTGATTCCATGTTTTCCAACTTATTGTTTCTAAGATTATCAGATACTTATCACTTGATCTGAGGAAGATTATTTCAGGTAAAGAGCCACAACGAATTTTATGAGGTAAGAATCGACTTTCGTCAGAAGCTTCCAACGGCTAGTTTCAACGGTCATATTCTTCAAGCCAAACGGAAGAAAGTGCTCAACGGTCAAGTACCCAATATCATCTATATATAGAAGAGCATTCAGAACAGAAAAAAGGAGAGAAGAGTCCAAGCTTCTTACAACATCAAATGCTAAAATGCCGAATCAAACATATTCTCATTTAGAGCTCCGAAAGAAAACTCCCTGTCTCTATGCTCTATAGACTAAATCATATGTATTTGTAAGATAGAGAGGAGAGTTTCCCAGACGTGCTTAAGTTTCATCTATCACTTCTTTGAGAGAAGAAATATTCAATCTTCTTTATCATTGCTAGATTGTATCCTTACGGTGTGTAAGGGGGAGTATTACCTCAGTGAGAGGTTGTTGTTGAATTAGACTGGTTAGTCGAACGATTGTAAGTGGCGACACAAGTGCCCGGATCAAACTTGTGGTTGTAGTGTTCTCAAGTACCCGTGTTAAACTTGAGGGAGATAGTCGATTGAAAATCTCAGGGGAGCCTGGGGACTGGACGTAAGTCAGTGAGGACCGAACCAGGATAAATCATTGTTTGCATCTTCTCTTCCCTTACCTCTTATATTTCCAGCTAAACCATTTTACTACTGTGATTATGCTTATCTCGATTCATTGTTTTTTATACTCAGAATTTCTTATGAATTTCATTACATTGCGAAAAGATTTTAATTTTAATCAACACCCAATTCACCCCCCCTCTTGGGTGTTCAGCCATTCTAACATTTGGTATCAGAGCAGGTCACTTTTTTAAAGGATCTAACGATCTCAAGTGCAAGGATCATGGCTGACTTTGAAGGTTTTGATTATACAATATCCACCATTTCTCAAAGATATTGATTTTTGGTATTGAAAGCTCGTATGATACGATTTTTGAAAACTATTGATTTTGATATGAGATATGTTTTTACAAATGATTTTGTTTTAAACGAAGAAAGGATTGGACCGAAAAAGAAAGAAAATGTTTTCTTTGAACATCAAGCAATGAAAATTCTGTATAGTGCTTTAACTGAAACTGATTATGAGAAAATCAGATCTTGCTCTACTGCCAAGAATATTTTAGGTACTCTTGACTCTTGTTATACTTCTAACACTTGTGTTGAAGCTAAATGTGAAGACAGTTCACTTGAGACTGATCAAAAAGCGATACACAATCATCCACTCTCACTCTCAGTGAACAAATGGAAGTCGAGATCGAAGAAGGTGAAATCACACAATACTTCCATAAGTCTGTCAACACAGAAGAACAAGAGGAAGATGAGCATCAAGAAGAGCTCAGTATGGACGAATATGATGAATCATTATTGGAGCTCAAGATGCACTTAAGTAAAACGGTCCCAATTCTTCTAGTACATTATTTATGAAAAATGATTTTGAAAGTTTGCATAAAACTGTTGTTCAACCAGTCATTGATTCTGTTTTCAAAAGTAAAAACTGTTTTAATTATGGTAGAAAATTTACTAGGAAGAAAGAACTTACAAAGAGAATAATTTAAAATTGCATTCTTTTGACCAACGCAATATTGCATAAAATCTCATAATGGATATCATTCTGTTATTTGCAATTATTGTGGTAAATCAGGTCACATTTCTCCACGCATGCGCTATTTTAGAAGAAATCCTAATGTGAGAAATAAATTTGTTTGGGTTCCCAAAGGACAAGTAAAGTGCCAACGCTAACACTCAGGACCCAAAGCAAAAAGAAGAAATCCCCAAAATGTCCTTCTAAGCAAAATGGGTACCAAAATGTCTTCTAGTATTTAATTTTGCAGGATATTTCTAAGAACGGACATATTGGCCTAAAGAAGAAGAAAGTGCCTAAGAGAGCTACTTACATGATCAACATGAGAACTCTTAGAGCACCCATTGCTGGAACTACAAAGTCCAATCATAAGAAGCAATGGATACAAGCCAAAGGAGTACGTTGCCCTCAAGGATGGACTACCACAATGTAAAATTGATTACCTTGAGGAGAACAAGAAAAGGAGGATCTCTCAAGCATTAAGCAGAAGACTCCTTGAGTCTACATTTTTATGAGAGAACATTGCAAGCACCCAAGGTGAGGAATCGAAAGTCTCAACCTCACAGAAAAATGCATTGGGTATGCAAAAGCAATCCTCCAAGTACCTAAGGAAGAAGGGAGAAAGCCTTTCCTCAAGATTGTGACCACAAAGGAATTGATGAACAAATCTTGAGAAAGCTGATCTGGTATGGATTTGGTGCTGAATGTGGAAAGAAGAAAAATCAACACTAATCCATCCAAATCAAGCAAGCTGCCACAAGGACAAGAGAAAATATGGTGATATCTAATCTTTACCCTTTACTGTGCTGATATGAAATTCATATTTGGGTAATGAATGCTTGTTCCTTGTTGCATTCCATTAGCAATCAATCTTTTATGATCTTCAAATTATTTTCCGATTGCTAAATGGACCGAAAATAGAATTGTGCATAATTTCTATGTGTTTGTATTTTCAAATGCACAATCCAAATTTTTTTTAAACTCATTGTTAAAGTGCATACAAATGATTTCAAAGATATTCATTTTCGTTTTGCATTCAAATGATTTTAAAATTGGAAGTTAATATTTTGAGTGCTAAAAGTCAGAAATGCTTCAAATCCTTCTAACAGAGTTTTCTCCATCTCTAATGTGTTAATTCTTGATTTTAATGTGCTATCCTATACTTGAACTCCCAAATTCTATTCTTCAACAAGTTAGACCTTCGTCTAACAAGTTAACCATCCATATGAGTTTCAAGTCTATCCTTACAAAAAGATTCCAATACGTCAAAGCCTTATGCTTAATGTGTTTATCCTTATTGACTGAGTTATTCCAAGCACGATTATGTGATTAACCATTTCAATGGAATGACTCGTATAGCTTCTGGAATCTATTTAACCTACTAGTCATCTGGACTAATGAGTTAATGTACTTCATTATTCAAAAATCCAGTATTTGAGTGTGAGCAAAGTCTTTGAACCTCCATCGTGAAAAGCCTTTCGGGTAACATCTTATCCATATGACTTTTACTCTCGGAAAAACTCTCTAATGTGTTAATATTGTCATTTGACATGTTATCCGATATGATCTTACAATTGAAGCTATATGATATTTTCCCTCAATTTGTTGACTTCCACATTTTTTAAAACAAAAGTATTTACTTTTAACAAGTTTTTTAAAAAACCTTTGTTTTCAACATTCATATTTTAAACAAGTGCGTTTAAAAACCTTATTTCAAAGGAAGCATTATTTATCTTCTAGCTTCATGTGCATATTTTACATAACGCTCATGATTTGAATAAATCATCGTTTTCAAATTCATGATCATTCATGGCTAACCTGTTTTCACGCAAGCTATTAGTTTTTCATAAAGTTGATCTGATCAAATCTGATTTCAAAAGAATTTATGATTGATGATCTTTTAGTTATAAAAATCTTTTGATACCTTCCTTGCTCAGAAATCATATGGTTTAATCCATATAAGAGCATGAGAGTCATTGTAGCTAACATGGTGTGGACCCAAGAGAAGTTGGGTACCAAGGAACTAATATTTGTGTTGTAGGTATCCTAAAGAATTATAAGATAAAATTCTCTTGATGGAGATGTCAATAGGGGAGAATTGAATTTCTTCCTCGGGTTGCAAATCAAACAGAGGAAGAATGGGATCTTCATATCTCAAACAAAGTATCTCAGAGAACTTCTAAAGAAATATGGTTTGGAGCAAGCCAAGAGTGCAAATACACCTATGAGCTCAACCATATCATTGGACGTGGACGAGAATGGCAAGGATGTGAACTTGACTAAATATAGAGGGATGATTGGATCACTACTCTACCTCACGGCAAGCAGACTAGACATTCAGTTTAGCGTAGGGAATGTGTGCCAGAGATCAATTAGCTCCCAAGCAATCATATGAAGAAGCCGTCAAGAGAATCCTCAGATATCTTGTCGGTAACACAAGTTTGGGAATCTAGTATCCAAAGAAAGGCGCAGAATATCTAATAGGATACTCAGATGCTGATCACGAAGGATACAAAACAGACAGAAAAAGCACCAGTGGACAATGCCAATTCTAGGAGGCTGTCTTGTTCGTGGTCTAGTGAGAAACAAAACACTGTGGCAATCTCTTCAACAGAATCAGAATATGTGGCCACTGCCAGCTGTTGTGCTCAGATTCTATGGTTAAAGCAACAACTACAAGATCTAGGAATCAACTTACGAGAGATTTCAATCCTATGTGATAACACGAGTACGATAAATCTGTCCAAGAATCCAGTCCACGATGCCCGAACTAAGCATATGATGCTCAACATCATTTCATTCGGGATCATGTTCAAAAGAAAGATGTAAAGGTAGAATTCATCCCCACTGAATATCAAATAGTCGACATTTCACAAAGCCTCTGACCAGCAGAAGTTCAAATATCAGAAGAGAATTGGGAATGGTAAATCCCAATGAGCTGTAAGAAATTCTGCATTACTTCTTTATTTTGAGTATTTCGATTTAATGTTTTGATGATTAGAAAACTAACTTAAGTATCAGAGTAGATAGAAATTTATTTTGCAGGAAGCTCTGTTTTGACGTTGAAAAACAGAGGTGAACAGAGTAGGGATTGATCGATAAAAGCATCGATAATCATGTCTCGAAGAAGACTCAATTTATCGATCACCTGATCGATAAATCCAATTTATCGATCAACTCATCGATCAACAGGATATATGGAATTGACTAGAAATGATGGGGAGCAGAATTATGGATAACCTGATCGATAACTCAATTATCGAATAATTATCGATCAACAGCAGAAAGAGGACTCTTCGGTCAATCAGTCAAATGGGTAAGGTTTATCAATCTATTAATCGAACATTGATTAATCGATCACATGATCGATCAACTTAGACAGGTATGACTCTCACTACAAAAATTATTCATAACATATTCGATCAATTGCTTTAACGTGATTTATAATTATGCATTGTGTTTCTACTATTCTTATTCGATCATCTTTAGTCTCCACCCTATCAATTTTCTGATTAAAGGGGAACTTCACATTCACATGTGTCTTATATCTTAAAAGCTCATCTCCTTCGTCAAAATAGTATACTCATCTGCATTCACTGTCAATTGATTAGTTTTGATGATGAGTTGCTTTCACATTTTCCTTTCATGATCCAATTCGAAAACAATTTATAGAAAGGATTATGTATACATTTGATATTTGATTGTACTAACTATTCTCCTTGGAAGAAGTTGTTGAATTCATAACAGGAGAATTTGTGCTATGAAAGAAACTCCTCACTGGACTACAAGGATAAATTATCAAATTTGAGGATTGATAATTTAATGCGCAATCAAGATAGGAGAAAAGAGAAAGTGATTGAAGATAGAAAGATTATTGGCATCAACCTTCAAAGCATAATCACCAATGCCAATACGAATGAGCATAAGCTTGGCAATGGACTTCATGGATCAATTTCTCAACTTGCCGAATTCAAATGAGCATTTCTAAACCCTCTCTCTTATATTTATGAACATTGATGCATTACATGGTTTGCATGCACTAAGAGACGAGAACGATATAGGGGAAGAGATTACCCCTCACGCCGGAGCTATGTCCTTTAAACTTTTTGCTGATGTCAAATAGGGGAGAGATAGGCACGAAAAATATGTTGCATCTAATTTGATATCATATCATCCATATTTTTCACAAAGGATTTGCCATCATCAAAAAGGGGGAGAATGTTAGATATGATTAGTTTTGATGATGTCAAATAATAGAGCAAAAAGTTTACATAAATTATTTATCTCATATTTTGACTAACTATCATACTTACTATCTTATGTAGTTTCCTCAAGAAAAGAAAGGAGATATTATGTTACACTTTGAGTTATGGAGAATGATCAAGAGGAAGAAGAAGAAGAGAGATTGAGAAAAGAAGAACTTGCAAGATCAAATGAAAATATCAAGATTCAAGTTCATAGATTTGATGTTAAATGTTGCTATACTCAATCAGAAGTTTGGATGACTCAGTCGGAAGCTAAAATATACAACCGGGAAGTTATACCATCATATATTGAGTCACCCTTCATATAAACATGGAAAATAAGCTTCAGAGGTGATTTTCATGGGCAATTATCGATTACTTGATCGATCATCCATTTATCGATCAAGTTATCGATAAAATGCATCCTCTGTTATGCTCTGTTCTTCGTTCAGCTCTGACATAGGTTCGGTATTTCTTCAATATCTCCTAAACCACAAATCCGTTTGAGACGAAACTTGATTCATATGAAACTAGACTCAGAACACGGTTCATGGACACCAAAATCAACTTCAAAGAGTTTCATATGAGGGAGATATGCGGTTCGAAACATTGCAGTCATTTGCAAAATTTGGAGCTGAATTGGAAGAGTTATGATCACTCAAAGATTGACCTTCGTTTTGCTGGAATCAGACTTCGAATTTATTGAGGCAAAGACCAGAAGTTCTACACTGAACGATTAAGTTCTCAAGCAACATGCTACTCAAACATGTTATTGAGTAAAAGCTCTAGAAGAGATGAAGAAATGAAAAGCCATTATCATATGTTACTCGAGCCTGATCAAGCGACTACATACTCATCGAGTTACTGGTACTATCTCCTCAATTCCTCTCTTTTATCTTCATACATATTATTAAGGTTTTATCAGTAACATGTTGGATAAATGATTTTTGGATAACGTTATAGATGAATATGTTTATCGATCACTTGATCGATAACTGTCAAGTTTTATCGATCATGTGATAGATAATTTAGTCTGCTCAATAACTTGCTAGATTGATCGATCAACTAATCGATCATTGGTATAGCTGATTAATATAAGATGTTGCAGGAAATAATCGATCACTTAATCGATCAGACCTTTATCGATAACTTGTTCGAATATTACATGTCTTCTTACTCGATATAGTGCTCTGTCAAAACCATTCGTTTAAAATCTTTTATCGAGCAATTGATCGATCAAACATTTATCAATCAAATGATCGATTATTATCTTCACTGCATTAACTTATGTTGAATCATTTTTTCGATCACCTACTCGATCATTGATTTATCGATAAAATGATCGATCATTCAATTTCCTGAAACTCCTGTTTTCACATAACGTGATCGATAATCAGTTTCTTTACCTTACAAGATTAAATCTCTGTTTTTCATTTTATCAATCACTGGATCGAATATTCATTATCGATCACCTGTTCGATTAATCCACAGTCTGTGTTTTTCGCTGAATATATTCTTACTCATTGTTTATCGATAAGGTTATCCATCATTCATTTATCGATAATGTGTTCGATCATCAATGACTAAAGTTTCATTTCTGTAACACTTGGATTATCGATAATCTGTTCGATCAACAAGTGTTCGATCACTTGTTCGATCTTGGAACGTTTTCCGTTTTAAATATCAGTCGACTATGATGATTCTTAAAATCAATGATCTATTTTCTTTAAAGCTTTTCTCAGCCTTCTTTTTACACATAACTCTCTATTAAAAGGATACGAAGGCAAACATAACTTGAAAAGGTTTATTCTTGGATAAATCATTTTTGGGTCACTGTACTCATGTTTCATCATTTATCGATCATTTCTTCGATCATCACATGATCCATAACTATTCGATAATTGCATATATCTACTATATCTTTTCCTCATATAATTAATCGATAATATGATCGATCAAAGGATTATCGATCAAGGCATCGATTAAGTAAGTTTATCTTACTTTCTGAAGATCTGATGATTGATTCCATGTTTTCCAACTTATTGTTTCTAAGATTATCAGATACTTATCACTTGATCTGAGGAAGATTATTTCAGGTAAAGAGCCACAACGAGTTTATGAGGTAAAGAATCGACTTTCGTCAGAAGCTTCCAACGGCTAGTTTCAACGGTCATATTCTTCAAGCCAAACGGGAAGAAAGTGCTCAACGGTCAAGTACCCAATATCATCTATATATAGAAGAGCATTCAGAACAAGAAAAAAGGAGAGAAGAGTCCAAGCTTACAACATCAAATGCTAAAATGCCGAATCAACATATTCTCATTTAGAGCTCCGAAAGAAAACTCCCTGTCTCTATGCTCTATAGACTAAATCATATGTATTTGTAAGATAGAGAGGAGAGTTTCCCAGACGTGCTTAAGTTTCATCTATCACTTCTTTGAGAGAAGAAATATTCAATCTTCTTTATCATTGCTAGATTGTATCCTTACGGTGTGTAAGGGGGAGTATTACCTCAGTGAGAGGTTGTTGTTGAATTAGACTGGTTAGTCGAACGATTGTAAGTGGCGACACAAGTGCCCGGATCAAACTTGTGGTTGTAGCGGTTCTCAAGTACCCGTGTTAAACTTGAGGGAGATAGTCGATTGAAAATCTCAGGGGGAGCCTGGGGACTGGACGTAAGTCAGTGAGGACCGAACCAGGATAAATCATTGTTTGCATCTTCTCTTCCCTTACCTCTTTATATTTCCAGCTAAACCATTTTACTACTGTGATTATGCTTATCTCGATTCATTGTTTTTTATACTCAGAATTTCTTATGAATTTCATTACATTGTGAAAAGATTTTTAATTTTAATCAACACCCAATTCACCCCCCCTCTTGGGTGTTCAGCCATTCTAACAGTAAAGATGCCAGACTAAAAAAGACAGCCTGAGGTCTGGTCTAGTCCAGTCCAATACTAACCTGAAGTCGAGTTAGACTGGATTTGGTCTTTTGGATTGCCTGGATCAGTCTAGAACCAAAATTAATTTTTTTTTAAATTTTTTCTTCAATAGGAGGTAAGATTATAACTTATTATATAAAATTTTGCACATATTTTAATCCAAAGTTCATCTAATTTGATCATTCCCTTCCATTTTTCCAATAATGTCATGTTTTATTAATTAATCCTCATTAATATAGACCTTATATTGTAGAAAATATATACGCATGCTCATTATTTAGGAAGTTAATTGATAAATTTTGATTATTTGAATAAACAAAAACTTAGATAAAAATTAAATCAAATTAAAATTATATAAATAATAATTAAAAAAAAGGGCTAGACAGACCGGACCAGACCGGACCAACTGACCTGAGGGGCTAATTCTTAGTCCAATCTGATCAGTCTAGTCTAATCTCGTTTCGAATCAATTTTTCCTACAGACTGAATCGGATTTGTTCGGTTTTTAGACAGCCCTATGAAAGTACATGAGCTGGCCAAGTGATATACTTTGCGTGCGTGAGCATCAAAGTCCAATTAATGTTTTCCCCGCTCCTCGGAAAACCTGGAGAAGGACGAACGCGTACGCGTGGGGAACCAGAAACAATCTTGACCGTCCTTGGCGATCGCTTCCCTGATAATGTCACAGTACACATAATTAAATCTGTTATGGCATGTATTGATAATATTAATATTCCTCGCCCTTATTAAACTATATGTCCTGATGTCTATGATTCGCACTCATCCTCGGCTTCTTGTGTTAGGTGGCTAGTGGATTATATGTACATTTTAGCAGGATTAAGTGATGAACCTCACGAAACCCATAATGATTATTCTTCTGAATTTATTTATAAAGCATTTTTAACATAATTTACACATATTAAGAAAAATTCTAAATTATATTAACTTTCTACTACCTCCGGTCTTAATTATAAGAGCCAGTTGATTAATTTGAGGAGATTAAAGAAGTAGAATTAAAATATACTCCTCCGGTCCTTATTATAAGACCCAATTTGACTTTTTATTTGGTCCTAATTATAAGACCCAATCTATTTTCTCTTTATTTTATGCATTTTTTCCAAGATAATCCTTCTAATAATGATATTTTTAGCCAATATACTTAATTAGCAAGGATATTTTAAGAATAACAACACTTATTTATTATAAATAACCAACTTAACTTACTTCCTTAATCTCCTCAAATAAGTTAATTGGGTCTTATAATTAGGATCGGAGGAGTATTAACTTTTCAATTTTATCTTTATTTAATATATACACATTTTTAAAATTATAATTATCTATGCTATAATAAATTAATAAAAAAATAGTGCAATAAATATCGCAAGCGAGGGTGTTCTGTTCACATGCATGCTTAAGTCGGCGTTATTGGGAAGTGTGGCTTAGCTTGGCAAGGAATCCATCCTCATTTCTCCACGGACTATAACTCGATTGCTTAATTCGTTAGGATTCTTAATCTCTACGGAATTTGACCCTCCTCCCCAATAGCCCTTTTCTCACCCCATGCGCCTATATTAACGCAACCTCCTTTCACACTTTGATCACCTCTAACCCCCATGCAAGGTCAGGACACCTTCGTCCAATTGGCTAGGTTCACGTCCACTTTGCTGGGTTTTCATGCCTTTGAATTAGTCACAGTGATTTTTTTCCATAACACAGGTCTAAAAAGTCAAAAAAGCTAATAATAGGTTTAAATTATAAGTTCTAATCTCTCAAATTTTTTTATTTAAAATATTAGTTATTATAATTTAATAAAAATTTGAATCATTTTTCTCATTAAGAAACCAAATCTCATGATTTAAAATTTAATAGACTAGAAATAAAATGAGAATTAAAAAATAAAAAATTATATTAAGCCAAGTTAAGAAAGCTCGCTTCATATATAACTGCACAACGGGTAGCCTTTTTTTATTAAAAATCTTAAATTATCACATTTTGGGTGTGCGGGGAGGCAAAGACATTCTCGTTTCTCTCTCTGTGTTAAAAAAAAAAAAAAGAACGCTCAGAACAGCGTTCGATGGGGGTAGCTGAGACAAGCCTCACATGACTACCAGTTATTCTTATCAAGAAAAGACAATGAATGAAATTAGTAGAGATGCAATGAACCATTAATAATACAATATTCATTTTTGTATTTAACAATGACTTATATTTTTGTGCTCACGTCATATTTATAAAGCCATAAACCAATTACTTATATTTTCCTATTTTTGTATGATATACCAATGAAAAAAAAACCGGACCGGACCGGCCGGTTCAACCGGTGAACCGGTGAACCGGTCCAAAGTCCGGTCTGGTTTAACAAGAAAACCGGTCACCAAGTGAACCGGTAATAAACCGGTTAAACCGGTCGTAAACCGGTCAACCGCCCGGTTTAGGGGGTTGACCGGTTATATATTTTTCCCCTCAAACTGCCCAAAACGACGTCGTATCACTGAAAAAAAAAAAATTTGGACGCTGTTGTTCAATTCACTTGTTCGATCCTACACTCGACCGAATGCCCGGTTCCCCACTTCCCCCATTCCTTCCTTCGTCCTGGCCTGGCAGATGAGCAGATCGCAGATCCCTTCGGCCCTTCCCCCATTCCCATCGTCCTTCGTTAACTGAGTTTGAGTGTGCAGCCGTTCTCCCTTGCAGCGCCGTCGACTTGCCGTGGAGAGTGCAGCGCCGGTGGGTTGGTCGACTTGTGGTGGAGGTGGAGGTGGAGGCGCGGTGGTCTGGTGTCTCGTGTCCGTATTCGGCATTTCCTTCTTCGTTGAGTTTGGTCGGTGGTCGACCGGTGTTCCTACGCCGCCGATTTGCCGTGGAGAGTGGAGAAGTGGTGCCGGTGGGTTGCTCTGGTCGTTGAGTTTGGTGGCCGACTGGTGCTCGTTGAGTTTGCTCTGCTCGTTGAGTGGTGGACTGGTAATTTAACTATTTATTGAATACCGGTTTTTAATTTTTTCCCTATAACTTCAGAATTTGTAAAACGGTCCTTAGAATCCGGCAAACAACTTCTTAAAAAGGGTTAGATTAGATGTTACTCTGCTTGTTTGACATAAGGGATTTGGTGGCTGGCTCCATAAAATTTTTTCAAATGCATAAGCTAGTTCGTCCATGTTCGCACCATCCGTCGTATACTCGTATCATTTCATTCATTTGAGTCTGGTTTTTGGTCTTTACTGCTCTATGCATAAGCTTATTGTACAAGTCTTTATTCGATGATATTGTTCCTTCAATGCCTTTGGATTCCACCACAATCTATGGATTAATATGATTTTTTACGATGATTGGAAATATTTTGGCATGTTGGCTGATATTAATGTTTATTAATGTTTGCTTGGTACAATGAAATATTTAAACTACTTTTGTAATTTTTTATCTTTTTTCAACTAATTATTATTTATAAATTTTGTTCTATTTTAATGTTATAAATTAAATTATATTATTTTAATATGACCGGTCCGACCTCGGTCCGACCCCGGTCCGACCAGTGACCCTTGACCCACTGTCTCGACCGGTTTAGTCTCCGGTCCGGTTTTTTGTTCCTTGCGATATACAGAAGTGTCTAATTTATGGGGCGTTAAAAAAAAAAAAACCGAGGTGAACGTGAATCTGTCATGGATTCGTGGTATTATTCAAGCGAGTGAATCTATTTTAAATTATTTTATCTTTTTGAGATAATGGAAGAAGGGCGGGGGCAGCGGTGAGGTTATGATGGCCAAAGGGGACCTATCTTTGATTTCAATGAATTAAAATTGTTTAAAGCTGCAGACTAATGAAATATTCTCAAACTATGAAATACTTAATAAAAAAACTAATTTTCTTTTGATCAAACTATTTTTTTAAAAAATGTTATACAAACTACAAAAATTCCAACCTCAAGTCCATGCGTCCTTGTAAAGCCCAGGCACAAGCAACGCAACAGAAGCATGGCGTGGGTCCGAACCCCACGTTAATAATGGCCGCAGCTCCGAGTCGAATCCGCCGAAAGAGCAAGTGGCCGGTCCCACAACCGCCCATTAAAGGTTATAAAATCCACGTGGCAAACCTTCCCTGGTGATTAACTCTCAATGTGACCGGAACATCGGATGACACGCAATTAGCTGTCGCTAGTAATAATTCAGTTGCTCCTGATGAAATTCCCAGTCTTCTTGATGGAACTGATGAGAGGAAGGCCGTTGGGAATTCTTGTTGTTACTGGGAGTAAGAGCCCCAGTCAAATCACAACAATCATTGACTTTGTGGAATTTAATGTCTTTTTTTTTTTTGGGGCCAAAGTTGTGGAATTCAATGTCACCCTAACAAAAATTGAGACTTTCAATGGGCCCTGAAAGGTTAGCAACTCCGCTGGGAAGGATGAAATCCAAAAAACTTCATAAATCCAGTTAAATAGTTGTCCTGTTTGTCACGTGCAAGATGCAGCAATTCCAATTCAACCAATAGAGCCATCGATATTCAGTCTGTTCCGTTCAAGGTGAGGTGGGAACCATCTGGAGTAATACTCTCTTTCCGTAATTACAGGGTAAGTCGACATATCTTTTAACCCAAGGTCGTCAATAATAGTCTGAATGCTTATGATAGCCATGTCACTTCTGGGGGTGTCCTGATTGGAGTAGAGTACGAATAGCAAGGTGCTTGACGACAACCCGCAGCTGAATGCAGATCTAAAGAAGGACCCGACAAAAAAACGAAGTGAGACAGGCAGGGTCGATGGCTGGTCAAGGAGACGGGGGATATTAAAGAGCGACGAGCAAACTTAGTAGTCAGTGAAGGGGAGGGCACGGCGGATCGCACAAATCACTGTCCGCCTCTTTTTTTCTTTTGGTCGAACAATAACCCAGAAGATTTAAAGGATCATCCTTCCATTTTTTACTCCCCAAAGCACTTTATCAAGAACATATTATCACATATATATTTTTTATTCTAAATAAAAAAATTTCTGCTCTAAAAGTAATTCTATGTTTGGTACAAAGATAGCAGAGGGAAAGAAAATTTTTAATAAGTTTGATTTAAAAAATTAAAAAAGTAAGATTATAAATTTTATATAAAAAAGAAGATAATAGGGTAAAAAAATTAATTAAATTTTTTAATTTCATCTTTTAAATTAAATTTATTGAAAATTTACTCCTCTCCTGCTTCATCTCCCTCACACCAAATCAAAGAGTAGGAAACCAAACTGACACTTCACTTTCTTCTCTCTCTCTAGTTAATGTAATCTTTAGTTTTTTAAGATTGTTTATATTTTAATTTTGATATCTTAAATTTCAAATATAGTTATGAATCAATTTTTTAGCAATTAGTGAGGGATGATTTATAGAATTTTGGGTTTGACGGGAGAGGGGAGGCAAACCCATTATATTGGGCCTTATTATAGAATTGCTTTTCGCGTACCTTTCTTTTCATGTTCGGCCATGGGGACATCATTTTATTGAAGCCTCCTTTTTCATTTATTTAAACTTTCAATATATAATATATTTAAAATAATAAACCCATCTCTGGTTTCTTAGCCACTGGCATTGGGGGTCTTTCGCCTTTCCCTTATATAGATTTTGTTTTCTTTTTTAACGGGAAACGATAATTTCTATAGCCAATCATACATTCGCATAATAACCTGACTAATCCGCACTATTATTATCTTTTTTTTTCCCGTATGCTGGTATTATCTTTTATTTCTCATATCTTAATCTTAATATCGAAGATTAAAGATACAAATGTTTGAAACTCTCATGACAAAGAGTAGTTAAGTTTAAAGATAAGTCTTAAATAAATTTTAAGAACGAAAACAAATAATATTTCAAAAATTATAAAATAATTAATAATATACTAAATATTAACGTAATATTTCTTTTCCCTATTGAATCAGATCCAGATGTACATCAGATAATTTCAAAATCATCCATACCTATTTTCCAAGGAAATTTTCAACGTAAAAAATAATTATTGGCCACCTATTTTAATTTCCAATGGGTCGCTCCCTTTTCCCTTTAAATAGCCCGCCTGCTTTTCCTCCTTTCCACGGCTGCTCTCTGGATCTTCTTCCTCTTTCTCGGAAAATATCACAGCAAAATGGGTTTGTCTAGATCGTCGTTGGCCATGATACTGCTGGTGTTCATGGTCTTCTCCGTTTCTTTGGCCTTGGACATGTCCATAATCTCCTACGATCGAACCCACCCCGATAAGTCAACCGGGAGGACGGATGATGAGGTCATGGCAATATACGAGCACTGGCTTGTAGAACATGGCAAGGTCTACAATGCCCTGGGCGAGAAAGAGAAGAGGTTCGAGATTTTCAAGGACAATCTCAGGTTCATCGACGAGCACAACGCTGAGAATCGGACCTACAAAGTCGGGCTGAACCGATTCGCCGATCTTACCAACGAGGAGTACAGGGCCAAGTACCTGGGAACCAAGATCGATCCCAAGAGGAGGATTTCCAAGGCCAGGAGCAACCGTTATGCTCCACATGTCGGCGACGAACTGCCGGAATCTGTTGATTGGCGGAAGGAAGGTGCGGTCGTCCAAGTCAAAGATCAAGGAAGTTGCGGTAAGTCCGTATTTGTTTTGTTTTTACTGAAATTTAACTTTTCCTGATTAAATGTATTCGCTTTTTCTTTCTATTTTTTCGCCTTTTCCTTTAAAATAAACGGGAGATCGCTCCCAAATCTCGAATGCAATCAAAAGTCAACGCTTGCGACGTTAGGATCATTAATTAATCCCAAGATATCTTATTCAGGAACTGTCTGTTTTATCACAAACTGAGATTGCTCCTGGTTGAAGGAAAAAAATCCTTGAAAAAATTAAATAAAAAAAAACGAGAGAATTCGTTACACGGGCAAAACTGTATGATTTGTGTATACAATTATCTCACCTTGATCTTTCGATGATGAAATATGTCAATTAAGTCTGTCACATGATCACTCTGTTCTATCTCTCAAGTTGATCCTTCAAAATAAAGCTGCTCCAGTTACTCCGAAACATATTATAACTCTTCTTCAGCCAAAAAATAGAATCTCATATATTATATCTAGATTTCAGCGCTTTCAATATTTATTGGAGGAACATTTCCTACTTCTCTGATCTTACTTTTCGGCGTTCATGTTGGATATTTACACAACTTTGTTTCCAACGTATACCAGAAATTAAGTAAAGATAATTACATATTAGCCTTGCTACTTTCATGGAAGGAAAAAATCACTTACCCGGTGTGTCAGTCAATAATGTGATTTCTGTTTTCTTCTACTTGTAAGTAGCAATTAATGGTCACTACATTTTGATTGCTATTTCGAAATGCGTTGAGTTATCTTTTGTGTTGACATGTTAAGGGGAAAAAAATAGAAAAGCTGCACAGTTATGAAGCTCAAAGAACTGTTACGCACAATGAATTTTATACGCATGGAGGATTGCTAGTAACTCATTGACTTAATTTTGAATGAAGGGAGTTGCTGGGCATTCTCAACCGTAGCTGCAGTGGAAGGAGTAAACAAGTTAGTGACAGGCGATCTAATTTCACTATCTGAGCAAGAACTGGTGGATTGTGATACAAAATATAACGAAGGGTGCAATGGGGGATTAATGGACTATGCCTTTCAGTTCATCATCGACAATGGGGGTATTGACACCGAAGAGGATTATCCTTACCGTGCTGTTGATGGCCAGTGCGACCCATATAGGGTCAGTCTACATTCAGTTATTATTCATGACAGAAAATTGTTACCTCTCCCATACTTAATTTGTTGCTGACATTTCTACAGAAAAATGCAAAAGTCGTGACAATTGATGGCTATGAGGATGTTCCTGCCAATGATGAGAAAGCCTTGAAAAAAGCTGTTGCAAATCAACCAGTGAGCGTTGCAATTGAAGCAGGCGGCAGGGAATTTCAGTTATATGTATCTGTAAGTCCCTCAACTATTTTTTTCCAAGAGCATGCTTCATATATAGATGCATGCATTGTCCGCTATGGTCACTTTAATTATGACAAATGATTTGATCTGCCCATCATTTGAGGAATTAGCTACGCACAACATGTGACATCACATTAGTCATGCCGAGGCTATTTTAAAGAAACCTGTACTTGGGGGATTTTTTTGGGACAATTGCTTCTTGCTGTCCAGTCAGAGTCTGCACATTCTTATTAGGGTTTTTTCTATTTGGTCAGGGTGTATTTACGGGAAGATGTGGTACAGAATTAGACCACGGAGTTACCGCTGTTGGATATGGCACAGAAAATGGGGTGGATTACTGGATTGTGAAGAACTCCTGGGGATCGAGCTGGGGAGAGGAAGGGTATATTAGAATGGAGCGTAATGTGGCCACAACCAATACCGGCAAGTGTGGCATTGTGATGGAGGCCTCCTATCCTACAAAGAAAGGCCTAAATCCCCCAAACCCGGGACCATCTCCTCCTTCACCGGTGAAGCCACCCACTGTATGTGATAGTTACTATAATTGTCCTGCCAGCACTACGTGCTGCTGCGTCTATGAGTATGGAAAGTATTGCTTTGCCTGGGGATGCTGTCCTCTTGAGGCTGCCACCTGCTGTGAAGACCACTACAGTTGTTGCCCTCACGACTATCCCGTCTGTAACATTGACGCTGGCACCTGTCTTATGGTAACACAACCTAAATTTCTTCCTTCATAATCAATTGTTGGCTACTATTGGATTTTTTTGGTTCACGTTAATGATATCTTAAATGAAATTCTCTGTATTGCAGAGCAAGGACAGCCCGTTTGGAGTAAAGGCAATGAAGCGTACTCCAGCTAAACCCTATTGGGCATATGGAGAGAAGAACAAGAGAATCAGTGCTTGAGCCAATGGATGAATAATGGAAGAGTGGATGGCCTAGTCAAAGGAGGATGGAGGAGCCTATTACATATTCTTTTCCTTGGGACTCATCATCGTACTGCCCAGTAGACGGTCATCTCTGACATTTAGATGCCAACTGATGAATGCTTTATGAAATTTCAGGATGTATTTTCCTGGTGTAAATAGCCTTATATTTATGGTTGCATTGCTTTCGAACAAAATATTTACTTCGTGACCTTCGAACTTAAGTAGCTTCTGTAATCAGTCACCGGTGGTCAATGAATTTCGTTTCCATGCACATGCTATTTTCTCTTTGCCTATAGTGTCCTTAACTTTTAACCAATGGAAGCCTCAACCTCATCAGGGTTAACTGTCCCGCCAATTTAACAAGTGACTTAATTATTATGCCTCACTTCACCAAGGTAGTAACTGTTATAGAACATGGAGACATTGACAAATACTATTCAATGTAGAGACATCTTTTGTTTAGTGGCGTGCGTATGGATAAGTCGGATTTCAGATGCGCAAGCCGATATGCGTGGTGCTTTAGATGAAAAGGCAAGATGAAGAATTTTACTTATTTCACCTCCCTCCCATTCTCTTTCATTTTCTATCATGCCAAACGCTTAAATGAGGGATCCCGATGCTGAGAAACAAAAGCTCTTCCTATCTTTACTCAACCAAGCAAAACTCATTTCTATTTCCCCTGCGTGAAATGTATGGGTGGGACAACTAATCTTTATTCCTGAAGATAAAACAATACCAAGTCAGAAGTCCAAATAAAATACTACCTCTAGTCCTAATTATAAGAGCCAGTTGACTAATTTGAGGAGATTAAAGAAGTAAGTTGAGTTAGTTATTTGTCCTAAATAGGTGTTGTCTTTCCTAAAATATCCTTACTAATCAAGTGTATTGACTAGAACTATCATTGTTAGAAGGGCTACTTTGGAAAAAAAAATATAAATATGAGAGACAAATTGGATTGAGGTCTTATATTTAGGACCAAAATAAAAATCAAACAGAGTCTTATATTAAGGATTGGAGGTAGTATATTGTCAACGTCAAGACAAATTTAAACAAGATGAATGAAAATCACGTTGTTCCCTTCAAATGATGTCTTAATAACGTCTTAAATTAAGGAAGTGGGCGCGCAAGAGTACGTATTCCTATGCCTCAGTTGTGTTGGGGGACCAGGGAGGGCTGAACTGCTCAAGTACTAATTGTCGCCCCAAACAACTTGATTCAGACCTCAATTATATTTGTTTCATTTCGTTTTCTTCGCCCAGCCCACATGATGTATACCCCGCGTTTCAGAGTGACAGATATTGGTGTCCAGCGCCACCATGCCAACCAGCTCATGTACGAACAAGATCTTCATTGAGGCAATATCTCTGCTTCGTGATCATAAGAGTCCATGGCAATTAGCTTATTTAAGCATGCCAACGTTATTATTTTTGGATTTTCCCGGTAAAGCTTTCCTAAACATCCAATCATTCGGCCCTCCCTCTTTTTTTCCCCAATATATCTGTTTCAAATTATTAGCTTGAATGCCAGCATCAAATATTTTCTCTGCAAAGAATGATAGGCAAAAGTTTGTGCACAGATTATATTGCAAAAAGCAACCGATTCGCAATACTAACATCCCTTTCACAGATGGAAACTAACGAGGCATCACTATGATAGAAAGTCTGAAACACACAGACCAACCACATAAACGCAAAAACCAGGTAGTGGGAGAAACATAATCTAACTTCCATTTCGATTAAGAGCCTCTTGATTAGGTCATTTTCGACTCGAATCCCGATCCTGCTGCCACTCTGTCTTGCTACTCTAAATCAGCATTGAAGGAGCTTTTCTGATGACCTTCATTAGTGTTATAAATACTCACTCTTCAACCTTCACTCTATGGCTTGTGCTGTTAATCTCGGCATCATGAAGAAGTGTAATATAATTATATGAAGGAAATAGAGAGGGGATCTTAGGCAGCAAGGGCAGGGTAGGAGGAAGTGACCAAATAGGCTGCCCTGCTGTTCCATCCTGTGGGGAATTCCAGCCCAAGTTAATAGATTTCCTGGAAGCATTGTTTGGTCTTTCGTCAATCAGCCTTTTCACTCCACTCATTTGATTCATATTGTATACAGAGAGAACCGTTTCATTACTTTCCATCATCTGGATGTTAGGTTTGAGGACGTAAGGATGTTGGACGGGATATGGTCTCTGAATAGCGAAGCCGCTCGGTACGCTCTGAAGGAAGCTGAATTTTCTTTGTATTCTGATCACTAGACTGATATCTTCTGCAACCTGAACAACTCCATGAATCAATGACCCAGTTTTTGAAGGAACTTAGGAAGGAAATAGAGCAATACCTTGTTAAGCGAACCCAACTGAACTATGCCTTCTCTCACTGCAATGACGACGATGGTCTGCCAAAGGAAGCAAAAAGTCTCGTTAGCATGCACTAGTAAGACTAAATGAACTAACAATTGTTATTTATTTTTACCCCTTATCGCCGAGGTGTTTCTGTGAATGGTTTTACCCACCTCAATACCTGAATTGAACTGATATTCCCACGCCCGCGGTCGCTGTAAGAGCAAGGAAAATATCAACCTTTCTATATTCAAGAGAAAGAATGAGCTGGACCGAAAAAGAAGAGCTATCTGTAATCATTTCTGTTCAAAGTTAAAATTCCTTACATGCTCAACTGACTCATTCCACGAAGCGATATAGCTAGGTTCAGACTCCTTTCGGCTGTCCCTGTACACCCATTTGTGACTATTATCTGCGGCTACTTTCCCCAGTAATCTGCAGATATATTACAGACATCAAATGATCGAGTGAAGTCCCCCCCCCCCTAACGCGAATATTGGTCATACTACTGCTCAAAACATAGGCAGACATGCTAGATTAATTATGACAAGAAAATGTGATAGGAGAGCAAAGCCATATATTTAACCCTCATTACCCTTCCCCATAACTGTAGACCTCATGTGACATTTTGAAGAACACGTCAGCTCCAAACTTCCCGTTAAGGTATCCACTCCCTGCTCTTGTGCATTCGTTAAAATCACAGAATCCATCTTCCCAAACCAGGATCCTACAGTGAACACCACCTAATAATTTAAAAACCATCATAACTTTTTGTGCCTGGTTGGATATGGTTTGCCTGTCAAAAGAAGTGAAACTAGTCCTGTGATTGTCATAATTACTTGACTATTACCAGTTTCTTTTATTTCCCTTGGAACGATCAAGATCAGTCCCTCCAAATTCCCACCTGCAACAGAGTAAACGGGTTTACAAACATCAAAACACACTACAACTTTTCATGAACTGAAGCATTCTTCTTCTACGCAGACCGAGAACTCTTTTTGGGGTATCAATGTGTTTTTAATTCTGAATTAGTTTCTTACCTTGGGGGAGGATAGTTTCGCGGCAGTATCCTCCAAAATACAGCATATACCCACTTAGAAGAAGTGGAAGAGTTTGAAGGTGAACATAAGCTTCTCAGAGTATGCTGCAAGAGGCAATTGAGCAAGGGCAGTCCAGTTTCCATTTTCCCCAGGCAAGCACACCCAAGAGTTACTGATGAAAATGGGAGAGGAAAAGCTTGATTAAAGGGCAAAATGTTTTCCAAGTGAGGGTACCCACTTGACAGGCACCAAGTTAGGCGAGCATGCTCCCATATTTAGAGTTGTACAAGACAGTATGATATGAGTAGTTTTAAGTGAGGCCTTCTTAAGACAAATAAATTAACATACGAGCCCAGCAACCATGACAGGGAGAAGCCCAACAGGCCCAATATGAGATTACTAAAGAGCTGATTTACATTTTGTCTGCTTCTCATGTTATACGTGTCTCAACCCTGCTGACTCTAGGGTTTCTTGTCTTGTCTATATAATGTACAGTAAATGTATTGAACAGTGTGCAATCAATAGAATATTGTTTTCTCTTATTACAAATCTTTTCTTGGTACCAGAGCCCTAGGCTAGCCGCCATGGCAGAGCAAACTTCACACACTGAAACTCCAGCATCACAAAGCACCGGAACCAGCGGAAACAATGGAGGAAACAGCTCCTTGAGTTCGGCCAATGCACTCTCCAGATTGACTGAGAAGAGCAATACACTGTCCCAAACATGTTCTGTCAAGTTGGACAGAACCAACTACTCCATTTGGCTGACCCACGTTTTACCCATAATCAAAGGGTATAGACTTGAGGGTTTTATCAACGGCACCAAGCCTTGCCCTCCTCAGTTTATCAAAGAGAATGACTTCTCTAAGCTGAATCCTGATTTTGAGGATTGGGAAGCTGCAGATCAGTTGCTGTTCGGATGGTTGCTAAACACTATGACTCTGGAAATATCTTCTGAGATGACTAACGTGTCTACCTCTGCTGGTCTGTGGAAGGCAGCAAAACAACTAGCCGGTGCTCAAACAAAATCACGCCTCCTTATGCTGCGTGCTGAGCTACAAAGGACTAGAAAAGGAAACATGAAAATGGCAGAATACTTGGCCAAAATCAAAGGCATTGGAGAACAACTCACCTTGGCCGGAAGCCCTCTTCCTCTCCCTGACTTGATCGTTCAGGCGCTGGCTGGCTTAGATGCAGACTACAACCCCATAGTGGTTCAACTTTCCAACCAAGCTGAAGAACTAAGCTGGATTGAACTTCAGACTTCTCTATTTACCTTTGAAAGTCGGTTGGAACAGCTAAACCAGCTTGCTCAGCTATCACTCAACAACAACTTTGTCAACTATGCCAGATCTGATGGTGGTTCCTCCTCTAGAAATAATTGGAGAGGAGGAAGAGGACACCGTGGCAGACGTGGCAGGGGAAGAAATGCTAGAGGGGGTCGCTACAGCAGCTTCAACAACAACAATGACAATGATGTTATAAGATGTCAGCTTTGTCATAAGGTTGGTCATGTTGTTGAACACTGTTTTTATAGATATGATCGCTCTTTTCATGGTTCAGGTAGCAAGCAGAATAACAAGGACAGAAATGATTATATTGAACTTGATAGTGCTTATTGGGCCACTCCAGAGACCGTAAGTGATGAGGGATGGTATCTAGACAGTGGAGCAACAAGTCATGTAACAAATGACCTCAGTAAGCTGGACAATCCGACTGCACCTAATGGTAAGATGAATGTGATTGTTGGTGATGGATTTAAGCTAGGAGTTGAAAGAGTGGGTTCATCCACCATTCATCATAATGGTTCTAAAAAGCAAGTTGAGCTGAAAAATATTCTTTATGCCCCAAAGATCAAGAAAAACTTACTGAGTGTTTACAAAATGGCTTA